TTGGTAAGCGTTGGATCTATTTAAGAACTTCAGCAAGTCCCCTTTTGGCTGCTTCTTCTTCTGCGAGAAAATGGATCTCATCTGACTGTGTAGCACTGGAAACTCACTGCTCATGCTGCTAATGGGTGGATGCTTGTTATTGTCCACTCAGGTATGGCTATCACGGATGCCATTACTTGCCCATCTGGTTGGAGTCACCCACCTGCTGTCTTCCCTTAGCCTAGTGAGTACTTTCTGACTGGGGTTCCCCTGGGGTCTAGATGGAAGAGAAAGTACAATGAGCTTGCCATATCCTCTGTCTGATTCTTGGGTTGTAAGTCAACAGCCTGATCATTGCTGCAGAATCATCATGTCTCTTTTGCAGGAACCCTGAGGCAAATTTGCTAGGTATCAGCTCTAAGACCTTTCATTTCCCACTGAGAGATAGGTAGTGTCTTCCCAGGTGCATCTAGGTAAGAGAAGGGACAGATGGAATCTTGAGCTTCACCTGAGGCCTTGTCCCTCTATCCATCTAGGCAGAGGACCCTCTTCCACATTTAGAAGAAAGTTCCATCCTAGCACAGGTGCATCCTGAATGTGGCTCCCCTACATTTATGATGGGAGGTAGGACATCTACTTGTCTTTCACTCTACTCACGAGCTTCTCCTCCCTTTGGGACCTTCAATCTCGAGAGAGAAGCACAACTCCCCAACCCTTGAATCTGGTCTCACATTCCCCTCTTATTCTACCTCTGATTATAAAGTAATTCAGCTCTAAAGAAATTCAGAGTGCCTTACCATGCATACTCACTTAACATAAAGTGAAAGAGAAAGGTTGACACATCTTATTTCTTCAAACCCAATTGTTTCACATTGCTTTTCCCTAAAATAAAGTCTGTATCTCTGTAGACAGAAGTACTGTTTTCAGTAAGTAAAACATTTTTAGTGTTTTCAGAATGATTGTCTTTATTGTAACCCTTTGAAAGTAATCTCTAAGAGATTTGATTCCTCTTTTCTCTCTTTTCCTCTTCGTGATGTTTTTATTACAATTGCATGATGTTTCTTATTTCTTTTACCTTTATTTTCCTTAAACAGTCCTCAAATATGGAAGGATTATGTTAATATAAGACACTGCAGTAGAAAGATGCTATTTAAAACACACCAAAATGGCTAAGGGCCATCATGTATACACAGTTTGCCTTCTGCACTTGGTCTTGACTTGAAGATGCCCTTTGAGCTGTCTGTCACTAAAGTGGCCAGCACCACAATGCAGGCTTTTAAAGTTGAATACATGGTATTCTGCCCCTTTACTGTGTAATGGCCTTATTTTTTTCCTAATGTATGGTCAATCTCCTCCTAAGAAATCATGCCTTTGAATGACTTTTATGAACATGCCAGAGTTCCCATTATAGTGTGAGGTGTACAAAATACTTAAAAATTCCTATTACATGGTTATGAGAAATATTGTTCACTAAGAAATAACTTGAAATATAGCTACTAATAATGTGTTTCTCCTGGGGGAGTAGGAAAGCACCAAATATATTTTCTGGTTATTATGTCTGGACATTTTGTACATCACATTTTTGTGTATATTTTCATTGAATTTTTGTGTATTTCATATAAAAAAGGGATTGCACTTCCCATACATCAGGCTTAAGTCTATATAAAAAGTTATTTAGACAGTTATTTCTCATTGATGATTTTGTTCCTAACCAAAAAGTGCTGCTCAGATGTAAGACTTCAAATCTTGGTCTCCAATGCTATCGTGCCCACCTGTAGCTAAGGGAGACAACCAGTTATTGTTGTAAAATGATGGATAAATTTATCTTCTCCCCCTATCTAGAAGCCTTTGAGAGGGAACTGACACTGATTATAACCACTCCAACAGCTATCAAAACACCTAAAGCAAATCCTAAATCCATCACTGTAGAGTCCAGTGCTGGAAGACAAAAGAAAAATGAGGAGGAACCCAATAGAGGGATGCTTTTGGAAGCTCTTGTCAAGAAAGTCCAATGGACTCTCATATGAACATTTGAAAATTGCCCTGTTCTGACTTTTTTCTAGTTCCCTACCTAGAACTTGAAATGCTAATTACTTTTGCTTTTACTTCTCCTTCACATCTCCTAGTCACAATTCAAACACTTTCTTTTCCCCCTAGAAATAAGAGTCATGCAATTTGGGAGTCTTTTAGATAGACTCACTGAAGGGGTACTCCAGTTGCCTCACCCTGCATCCCTGTTCAGCATGGAAGAAGCCAGAGTGGTCTGTGTCCCGATTCCCTATTGGCAATTTGGGTAACCTCTTCAGAGGGGGTGTGATAAGAATAAGAGGTAGGAATTGGCTAGGTAGTTAGGGTAAAAAGACCCCCAAAGAAAATATCCAGTTTATTGGCTAAAAGTCAAAATGTCCTTGGGCTTCTTAGCAATATAGTCTGTTCCAAAGGCCAAAAATGTTGAAAATATTTGGGAGCTTGTATCTAATCCTTAAAAGATTTTAGGGATACCTCTTCAGAGGGGGGAATATTAGAGTAGCCAAAAGCCCCATAAAAATAAATAAGTAAATCAAAGAAAAAGAAAGAGTACATGAAGTTGTCAGAAAAAGGTGATGGGGAGATATGGGAGGAGTTGGAGTAGAGGGAGTAGGCATGGATTTGATCAAAACACCTTATATGCATGTATGAAATTCTCAATAAATTATCTGGATTAAAAAATTTTAACCATCTTTTTACCAGTTCCCCATTTAACTCCCCCATAACCTCTCATAGATGTTAAGGCCTATCAAGTCAAGTTAGTGCACCCACACATCTCTCAGTGCAAGTTCATCTACTGGGGTCTAGTCCCATCACAGTCTTGAACAGATCAAATTTTATGAGAACTGGACTGAGCAGTCACTAGGCTTAAAAGCTGATTCTTAATTATATGTGTGAAATACAGAAACCACAGTCTGATCTTGAGCCTGTTCACCAAACCAGAAAATTTCCAGGCAGACACAGAAAAAGAAGCTAACCATACAACAGTCAATGCTTTACTTTTAGCTGGAAATTCAGTGGTCTGGAGCTTTGTCCCTGATGCATCCTGCAGTATATGTCATGGTAACAAGTATCAAATCTTAAATTATTCTGTAGTGTAGCAAAAGAATAAACACAGAGTCTCAGAGTTACTATAGGTAGCACTTAATCTTTCTTTTGTGTATTAATTTCACTTAGTGAATTTGTTCTGAGTACATGGTATGCTTAAGATAGGACCTTAGAGTGAGAATACCTCAGCATCTCACATCAGTCATCTCACATCAGTCATCTTCTCTCACCCCAGATTCACAAGCAAACACAAATACACAGTTAGCACTTAGGCTATTAATTAGTCACAATTTTTGTACTGAGTTGATATTTTTTCAGGGATTCATACTGTTTTTGTAGGTCTTCCTTCAGATTTTTAAGATGACTGATCATGATTCAAGGTTGAGTATTTAATTTAAAAAGTACACTAAACTTGACAAGGTTCTTATGCACAAGTGACAGAGGTATTTGCAAGTCCTTGGTATAATGTGATACAATGAATATGTATCTATTTATCAGAAAATAATTATATATGTAATAGTCAATACAGAAATTAGAAAGCATTCCCTTAATTCAAAAATAATTTTGAAATTAATGGGTATGAGCTAATTAATGGCAAAGTAACCCTTTACCTCAGAATTATTTTCTGTTTAAATGATTAAGAACTGGGAGAGATGACTCAGTGGTTAAGAGCCCTGGCTGCTCTTGTTGAGGACCTGGGTTCAATTCCCAACACCCACATGGTGGCTAACAACCATCTATAACACTAGTTCCAGGGGAATCCAATGCTCTCTTCTGAGCTCCACAGGCAAAGCATGACAGGGGTGTACTTGCATATGTTTGGTAATAAACTCATACACACAAAATTAAATAATTAAATAAAATATATTTAAATCATTAAAAACCAATATACATGCTGCTTTCTGTAATATTGTCTGAGGACTCAAGATGCTTTCTGCATGTAATTTTTGCCAGCAGGTTCCTAAGAACCAGAGCTGAATAGTAAATGAAGCCACTTTGTTAACAACAGAAAGTGAGAGTTGATTTGTGAATTTTGAGACCACATCAGTATTCCAAACCAAGCTCGTTTGCTGTCATCTCATTAAACAGCACTGGGTAGGCATTTAAAGATTTTCACACTTTTTAAAAAATATATGGGCGGGTAACTTTATTTAAAACAACATTGATTTTTTTCAATTAATGCCTAGTCATGTACATCAAACTAAGTATCAAAGCATATTTGTACCTATTTGAGGCTGTCCGTGTAGTAGGTATTAAATTTGGGAAGAGGTTTCCTTTCTCTGTGCTGATTTCCATCAATTTGTGGTTACTTTCATTTTCCCTTGAGCTTTTGCTTTTGAGAATTATTTTTCATTCTTTTCACTAAATGCCCCAATCATTAAACACACTTTTATCACATATAACAGCAAGAGACTTTATGAATAATAATGATGTTGGAAATGCCACTGTTCGGTTTCCTGGCCCATTTTGGAAGAAGGGTACCATACCAAATTGTCTTTATGTGGCCATGACTGTTTTAGCAAGGCTGGAGTGGGAGATGGGCATAAAGTGGAATTCTAGTGGAAGGAGTGATATAGTTACCTTGGCAATACAGGTGAGTTCCTTGACAGGATGTTCTTGGTTCTTGCTTCCTACCATATCAGCTATACGTGGTTAGCAGCCCTATATTGATCTACTACCTTACAAAATTAAATTGAAAGGATTTCAGTTCAAACTTTCCAGGACTTGGAAGTTCCTGATATGGCCTCTAATGGTTGCTTGGGGAACGGTGTCTTAACCCAGAGCTTGCAGTGAGCTGTGTGACTTGTTCTGAAAGTGTGAGAAGGCTAGGCAAGAAAAGTAGATGATCTCAAAACAGTTGCATTTTCTACTTTTCATTAGTTCTTAGTTTTGCATCAGACTCCAAAATAGCTGTATAGTTCATTCTCAATATTTCTTATATGCAGAGTTTTACAGTGGGATATATCTTTACTGTGAAGATACACGGACGCTAAAACAGAAGCCATTAACTGGTGCCATTTGGACAAAGAAACTTGGAAAACTGACCGCTGTGTAGGTTGATCATGGAAATCAAAGAGGAAGGAGCTTCAGAAGAGGGCCAACACTTTCTTCCTACAGCTCAGACAAATGACTCTGAGGACATGCAGTTCACAAGTATGTATGTATGTGCCCCTCCCTGTTGGTCTCTGAAGAGGAGAACAGGGTTGACTAAACAGGCGACCCTATGTGTTCACAGAGAGCTGGGTTCTACACAACAGGATGAGGTTAACTAGTTGTTCCTTCTTTTCTCTACGTACTTTGATCTGCAAGAGTATGATATATCTTTTATCTTTTATCTTTTATCTTGGGTGAGACAAAGAATATAGTTCATACTGAACAAGCATCAAATAATGCATCAAAGTTTCCAAATGTGTGTTAAAACACTAATAAGTGCACTTTGTGAGCACTTTCTAAGTGCTAATCCCATTTAAGAACACCTTCTATTTGGCATTTATATATTCTTGTATGGAATTATTTTTTGGAATCTAGACATTTTTAAGACCAGAAGGTATTTAAGTTGAAAGCATTAGTGAAAAATTGTTACACAGACTCATAGATTTGCTGCTCTACCAGACACCATTAATTCACATAAGTAGAAAGCTTAGAGACTTGGCCAAGATTTACATCTGAATATTAGAATCAGTTTTTGTGCTACCCAGGTAATTAAAAGCTTCACAAGAATGCTCTGCTTTTTCTTATGCTCAAAATTCTAGGGTTTGGGTTTGTTTTTTAATATGAACTGCGTCTTTTTCTTTCAATAGATTCCTTTTGCTTAGTTATTTTAACACTGGCAAATATATGCCTAACCTCATTTAATTTAAATAATAAAATTATCTTTAGAAAATGGTATTAGTTGGATGCAGTTCCAAGAAATTTGGTTGTCAGAGCTCACAGCAGAGTTAATTATTAGCAACCTTTGAAAAAAAACAGACTGTTTGAATTTCACAAAGACATACCTAATGATTGTCCTTCTAACCTCTCTTGGAAATTCTAAAATTGTTAACTCAAGCATTGTTAAATGTCAGCAGGAGAGGGAAAAAACGGTTACTGTGCCAAAAGAATATTAGGTCTGTGAATAAAAGCGCTACTTTTTATGCAAAGTGGCAGTTTTAAAAATGTGTTATTGACCAAATGCCAATAAATTTAGTTTCTGAGGAATACACTAGAAAAATAAACAAGAAGATGATTTTTTAGATTTATTGCTAAATGGATTAACATTCTGTTTTATTTCGGTTTCTTTGGCTATATGTGGGTTTCAACAAATGGTACTTTGTTCATCCACACCCTTACCCATTCTTATATGGGGGTGCCATTGAACTATGTGTGGTCATAAAGCCTCAACCTCCCATACTGAGTAACTGCAGCTTGATCATTCAGTTTCCTAGAGTGAAATGTCATCTCAGACTCACCCCTTCCTACTTCATCTTAAGTCATTTACCTATGCTGTTAGCTTTTAAAAAAATATTACTGCAAAAGGAATAAAAGCGTTTAATAGAATTTTTGGTTTAAGTAAACAGCAAATGATCAAAATATCCATCACTGTAACCAGGCCTACTAGAACCCAACTGGAGACATCTGGTTCATTGATGAGTTTGCATTTATAGGTGAGGATGGCTTCTATCTGTGTACATCCAAAAGAAGCAGACACAGTTGAAAACCATGTTTGATATTTGATCTGGTTTGTGAAAACATTTCTTGGTTTCTCTATGGTGGTTGGAAGATCTTCATTTCCTTCTAGTTTAGAAATAGTATGTCCTTACTTGAAATCTCATGACTATTATAAACAAGTTAAACCATCCTGCAAAATAATGTATGTACACATCTGGTCAGTTAAAACTATATATTTTATCATATTATTTATAATGAAGCCTTCTGTAACTTAAATTTATCCTTACTATTTATAGGCATTCAGAACATTCCCAACGAGCCACAGCTGGAATTCATCCTTGGTAAGGAATTCTACCTTACTTATATCAATAAGTATAATGAGAATCTGTGAAGTATTTTTAAAATTATGAATATGTTATATATCCTGTTAGATTTTACCTTTATGAACATTAATCTATTTTTAAAATCTTTCCTTAATAAGACTTGAAAGATTCATTAGTGTCCTCTTTACCCCTGTTCTATGTTCTGTGACTCTTAGCTGAAGAGGTTGCATTGTAGATGTATCACTAAGCTTCATGCAACAGAGGGCCAGGAACACAAAAGGTCACAAATGACCGAAGCACAGAGATTAAGAGTCTGTAGAATTCTGGTCTTTGGACAGGACTCCTATATTAAACTTCACCCACCCAGGGCTCAGGGAACATTGCAGAAGACGGGGTGGAATGATTGTAAGAGCCAGGGATGAGGTGCATGATCATACAGAAATAGAGTCCTACAAGCTCCTGGGACCCTGCTCATATGAATTGACATCAATGGTGTTAGCATATACAAGTCCCATGCAAACTCAAGCAGACAAAATTCAATCCAGTCCATCGTACTGGGGAAATGGACAGCAGACTCCAATCTTAGCTGAAGAAATACTGGCAACTGATTATTGCTATGTGAGAAAGAGCTGATCTTTCTAAAGCGAGGGACTCTGCATAAGATGACAAGACCTCAGCAGATGAACTTGCACTGAGAAAGTTGTCTGGGACACTAACCTGCCAAAATAAGCCTTAACACAAATGACAAAATGTATGAATTAGAGTAGGGGACTATGGGAGGGTGTCAGTGGGGAATGGGGGTATAAAGATGACTAAGATTGATTGAGATGTTCTATATGAAATACACAAAAATTCAATAAAAGCAAATTTTAAAAACAAGTCTTTCCATAAAGTAGGTATTTTTTTCTCCAAGTTAAATTAATAAGTAAATAATCTGGGCTAATGTGTAGCTCCATTTGTTGTCCAGCGATATAGAATTCCATAGTCGCAGAGTTCTGCCTTTCAACAGGTGCACTGCACACACAGATCCCATGTCAGTACTCATTCTACTGGAATGACGATAGTTTGTTGCAAATCAACATTGTTGAGAATCTAATTTTCTACTCCAGACTAGAGAGTGACCTCATGTCGTTTCGTTTTGTGTTTCTTCTTGGCATTTGCAAGATCCTCATTCCTTCATCAGCGCATTCAACAGTGCCTCCTCACACTTCCATATTGATTTTGTGGACAGATATTTGGCACTTGAGAATTTCAGGTTAAATACAAGCTTTAGCTTAAATAAGCTGCTCTAAAGCACTGTTACATGTAGAAGTTTGTAACTTGTTCCAAGCGTGAATTCAAAGTGTTCATTCTGAGATCGCCTTTCATTAGAGAGTGGGAACTGCTTCTCACTTGAATCAAAACTACCATTAGGAAATGGCTGCAGTAACATATTTAACAAGGAAAAAAGATCTGTGTGAAATATTTAGACATGAAAGTCTTTCCTTTTTCTTTCTGTGGTTCAGGAATATTCTAAAATGGCAGCAGTATCTTACATTTTGTTTTAATTAATCTTTGTAAGCTAACAACACATGTGCATATTCGAATTGATATCCAGAGATGAGACACATTTTACATGTCAGTAGGAATATTTTTTGAAATTTGAGGTGCAAATTTAAAACTATAGGTACTCTGTACTAGTTTTTAGTGGTTTGAAGTCTCAATTATTTTAGGTTCATAAGCTTTCACTAACTATGTTGAAAATATTCCATTTTGAAGTATAATTTGTTAAGCTAATAATTATATCTAATAGAAAGTTTAAGCTTTGTAATATTGTTGAAAGTATTGTTAAAAGCTGCTATTAAAGAAACATTCTGAATTTTGTTTTCCTAAGTATTGAGAAACAAGCAAAATTGTGAAAACCCAAGAACATTCAGGATAATATCATTCTTTGAGTTTTAAGATGGTGTCACATATAGGAAGTTGTTTTCAGAAAGGAAGTTGAGGCTAGGGCTGGAGAGATGGCTCAGCAGTTAAGAGTACTGACTGCTCTTGCAGAAGACCCTGGTTCAATTCCTAGGACCCACATAGTGACTAACCACCATCCATGACTCCAGTTCACAAGGATTTGATGTGCTCTTCTGACCTCTACAGGCGCTGCACTACATGGGCGCACTTACATGCAGGCATAATCCTTATACACATAAAATTTTAAATAAAGGTAAATAAACAAAAATAAGAAAAGGAAGTTGAGAGACGAAAAGAGAGCAGGACAGCTCTGAGACACTGACTACACTCCTGCTTTGTGAAAGTCTGTCTACTTTCTATTTTTAAGAGAAGAAATTCATTTTTTAAAATCTTTTTGCTAGGCTTTCTGGAAAGTACAGCTCAACTAGAACAATGCAACGGTCTTCAAAATACAAGCACAGCCTTCTTTTTGCATGCTGGAGAAAAAGAAAATCTGAAGTAGATTGGAGCGTGCTAAGGAGACATGGCTACCAGCTTACAAGAGACAGCCTATGTGAGCAGATACCTGCTCTTTATTTCAATTAAAATAAGCAGTTTTGTTCAAAGCTCTAACTGTTCTATTTGTTACAAAACCCTGGTTAAGGTCAATAACTCTGGCAAAAGAAGTAACAGCTCTGTTGTCACATTTTAAGTTTTGAACCATAGACTTGAAAGAGTCACAGGCATTAGAATTTATTCATAATAATGTCCTGGATCTAGTTTAAGAAACTTCAATTTTCTTTGTTCCTATACTTATTCAAAACTGCAATAAAATAACTAAAGGTGGGCCATTTTATTTTATTAATTGGCAAAAAATGCTCGATGATTGAATACACATTTATCAAAACAAATTACTTATCATAGCAGTTGAATGTTTCCCAACTATCTCAATATATATTTATTATTTTTGTCTTTTTGAGGTAGTATCCCTGTAGCCCTAGCTGGCCTGGAACTCACTATGTAGACCAGCCTGTACTTGATCTTACAGGGATCCACCTGCCTCTGCCTCCCGAGTGCTGGGATTAAAGGCATGTGCGACCACACCTTTCAACAATCTCATTTCTTAAAGAAACTTTTCAAAAAGTTTCTATGAAAGACATCACAGATAAAGCCTCCTGGGTAGGTTTCAATAAGTATTTCCGTCATGTGTTCTCCTTTGAATTTTGTTTATTCCAAAAAATTTTTGAGTCTACATATTACATAATAATCTTCTGTTCATTTCATAATGAATAATAATTTCCTAAAATATCTTTATTATTGTTTAAAGATGAATATAATAATTTAATTAAAATAAATCAAGAACAAATTCTAAAATAGAACAAGGTAGGAAAATTTTGCCACTCAAATTTTTTGGTATTTGATTTACTCCTCTTTCCCAAAGTATTCAAGTAAATTGGAAATTTCAAAAGCTTTATCTTGTTATTTTTAAACCATATTTTGTTTTATGTACTGCAATACAATTTGCATATCAAATAGCACTATAATAGAATTGCTCAATATAGTTTTAGTCAAAATTTTGAAAAATCACTTTTTCTAAAGTGGTTCAATGAAACAAATCTATTCAGTGACTGTCCTTGTCTAAGCCCCACTGTACTAATAATTGGTGGATTTACAACATTCACAATCACTACCTTGGAGAAATAAAACATGTCTTTGGAATGTAAAACTGGTTCTTGTTACAGCAGTACACAGAAACTTGAATTCATATACCAGAGGGCCTTGTTTTATAAAATGAGCAGTCACACTAATTATTTAGCCAATTCTTGAACTGCTTTGCATAAGCTTTTTTACAGGAAAAAGCATTTCTATGTAGTTTTTGCGATGGCCTAAGATCATTTTATCTTGCTGATATTTCCCTACATCTTTATTCAAGTAAATGAGGTAGGATATGTTTAGCCAATTGAGCAAGTTAATTGGCTAAAGTTGTCCTGATAGTACTGGGTAAGCATGCACTGAAAAGCTACCTCATGTCCACTGTTACCATATTTCTAATGGGTGACTGCATCTAAATTAAGTAATTTACCATTACAGCTGCAACTTTGCCACCACAGTTTTTTCCCTTGTTTCTTTAAACATATTGATTTTTTCAAATTTTAGCAAACAGATATAATTAAAAACTCAAGAGGACATTGATTTTGTTCAAGGTTTAATAAAATGTTTTGCTTTCAACAAAGTTGGCATTCAAAAGGAAGGATTGTTTTTAAAAATTTGAGCACATTTTCTTCTTGAAACCATAGTGAAAATTGTGTACGGAAATCCAATCTCAAAAGGATAGAACAGAAATTCATATAAATACTTCGTTTTCCACCCAAGTGTGCCTAAAATATTATCATGTAGCTTTATTTATTATTTCCAGAGTCAATAGATTGCTATAATAATATCTTCTTCTTTTATATGCACATCATGTATATTATAAATCAAATCGGCAGATAGTAATGCCTATGCATTTATAGACTTTGATGCATATAATGCCTTTGAGGGACATTTGAGACCCAAGGTGTGGATACAGTCCAGAAATTTTGTCTTTCTTGAAAATAATGTTCTTTTCATGTAGGATTCTCATTTTATTTTCTGTTCATTTGGGAATAATGATAAGTCTAAAAAGAATCAGTTATTTTGCATTTCAAAACAGTAGCATTACTTTCATTCCACAAGCCATATCAACTACCATTTTGATGTATATAAAGAGCCACTATATTTCTAAGTATCCAGTTCTAGAATAAAGTATTCAGTTTTCAGTACAGGTATATGAAAATATATAAAATTGTACCTAAAATGACAAGCAGCACAACAAAAACCGTCTGATCTATTAAAAGATATACATTCACAGGGGTCGTCATTAAGCTGTGTGCTAAGGCCATTCGTAGATTAAGAGCAACCATAAATCAGGCATTGTTTCATACTTCTCTAAAGAAGATGTTAGGAAGCCCAACTTATTGTGTTTGTCCTGAATTCTTACTTCTGCCTTATTTCTGGCTTGTATTCTATAAATGATTAGAAAGCTTAGATGTTTGTAAAACTCCAATGGGAAA